TAGCAACATGAACCTTAGGTTTTTTAGCTTCTTTTAAGGTAATTTAATTAGAAGAAACAAGAAGCAGCAGCAAGTGACCAAAGGGCTCCTTGCTCCAGCTACACACGTTGCACAAGCAAAAGAGGCTGCTGCAGAGGCATTCGCTGGCAGACCAGAAGTAAAGAGGCAGCAGCAGTCTCCCACGCAGCTCTGGCAATGACAGGGTGGCAGCCAGGATCATTGTTTATTATATTAACTCAGAGAGCAGTGACCTTCTGGATCCGCTGCACTCACTGCCGCGCTGCGGCGTGCAGAGCTTGCTTCTCTCCAGTGCAACATTTCTCTTGGCTCCCCCTTTTTTGTCACTTTTACTGGTGGTGTGTTTATCAGCATGTAGTGCAGTATCTTATGTTCCAAATTAGATCGTTTATGCACGCAAACCCTCCTTCCCCTTCATGAATTCCTGCTTCCTCACACCACAAGCTGGCAAGAGCCAGCTCCTTGAAAGACTCTTCTGGAAACTAGTCCCAACCCATAAAATCCCTACTGAACTCAACAAAGCTTAAATCAACAGGTGCCATCTATTTCCTGAGGTCAAACATTTATTTCAGTTCTATTTTAAGCCAGGGAAAAGAAACTGGAAGAAACAAACGCTGTTTAGATACTTTCCACACTGTGGTTGGTGGCTCGTTGGAGCACCCGCCTGGGAAGCTGGGCTTGGTGGGAGCCAGAAACTGTGCCACTGAAATACCAGCCTCCTAATTTCCATCCTATTGTCAAACGTGACCAGGAGATGTTCCTTTTCACCAGCATCTGGGAATGGCTTGGCTTGGTGTGCCTCAGGCTGGAGGATCCACAGAGTAATCAGCAAGCGAGGAGTCGATCGTCTTTGTTTTGTCACTGGACCTCAGTGCAGTGACTGAGATCTGATTCATACTGACGCCAAGTTCCTTTGATATGACAGAGCAAATGCAATCCAAACCCACGTCTGTCGGTCTTTCCTGATCTTGGACGAAGTAATTGATTTTTAGCTCCGTTTCCCATGGTAACAAGGCTTCCTGATCACCAGCTGCACGTGTTGGCCCTAATAGCTTTTGAATCCACCGCTTCATTTCAGCTAAATGTGATGGTAAGAGTGAGGTCTGAAGGATAATTAAGTTCCTACAAGTTTTCTGAAAACAAGCTCTGTGTGGCAGACTCTGTTAGTGCCACGTCGGTACCTCCACCGCAGATGGAAGTTCAGTTGCTTCTTATTGGGCACCAGAGACTCCACCATGGGAAAAGATCTTGGAAGTAGCTTAGCCAGGGGCAAGCTTCACCTGGGCCTTGCAGTCACCTATGGGAGGCAAATCACAGGAGATCAGGCTTCCTTCACTCCCAGTGTTTGCACAACAACTTGTTATTGTGAGGGAGAATAATGGGTGTTAAATAACAATAAAATGAGGACTCTGTATGAGGGGCCACCAGAGAAATCCCTGGTAAAAAAATATGAGAATTTGCAAAATGTGGTGGCTGTTGAGCATCAGGAGACAATGAATACAGCAAAGTAGACTGTAAGTGAGGAAAACACCTTTGTGCAAATACAGCTCCTTTCTCTGGTCAGCTGAGATGGTGCTGAGCTTCTGCTGTGTCCTTGCTGGGCACCGTGGGGTCACACTGCCTCACAGCTGAGCTGGCAACGGCCCCAAGCAGCTCGAGCCCAAGTCAGGAAGGAGGAGACCCTCACCCCAGAGACATGTAGATGGAAGAGGAGTGTGATCAGGCTTGTTGGTGTGGGACAGAGGCTGCTTCAGTAGGAAAGGGCAGTGCCCCTCAGCTGTGCCAAGCAAGGGATGGTGCAAGGGCTGCTGCTTGGAAGGATGGAAGGGACTGCACTGTTGTACCGTGGGGGTGGAATAAAAGCATGGTTATTGGGAAAACGTGTGGTTTAGTTAGGAAAGCAGTGTGCTAGATCAGTGCCTAAATCAGAACTGTTCAGCTAAAGCTTCCCTGGGGCCAGGGTCACAGCATCACTGAGCAGATGCAGAGCCAGGCCAGCTGCTTGCAGCCTCTTCACCGTTTAAGGGTGACACACCGCAGGGCACTTGGGCTGGACCAGAGCATCTCATCCTTCACCAAAACAGAGCCAGCCCCACCTCAGACCCCTGCCTGGTCCCAGCTGCAGCAATGCCTTCTCTCTTCTGGGATTTCATCTCTAAAATTCCCCATCTCTGCTTTCCGACTCCCTTGTTTGCCATCCTCACGACTCATCCCATCTGTCCCCATTTTAAAAATCGCCTTCCCTCCCTCTTTTCTCACTAGCTCTTCTTCTGGTGTCACTTCTCCCACCCACAACACAGCTTCACTTCTACCTGCTCTGACCAGGCTGGCGCACGAGATGATTCAGTCATCGTTTGAACCAGGTCCAAGGGACATCACTGGGTGATGGAACCTTAAAATATTAACCAAAGCGGCCGCTTCCTGCCTCGGGAGTCGGTTTTCCTGCATTGCAGATGGGGGTGAGCACTCCAACCGTTTGCCACGGCTCTGCCTCTCTCTGTGAGCTGGCAGGCAGAGGGCGTGCGCCGGGCTGCCTGCCGCTGCAGGAGCAAAGCACGAGGTTCACCTCTTCTTCTCTCCCAGCTGGGAATCCAGGAGCTCTTTCATGTTGCGCTTGGAACATTTGACTCAGCAGCTGAATCTCACCCTCCGCCTCCAAACCTCTCTTCCACAGAGAGCACTGCCAGCAGTTGGATGGGTGCAGATGCCAGTTTTCAGGGAGGAACAGATTCAGAGGTTTTGCAGTCCCAGTTAGGATTCAGCCCATCCCAGTAAGGGCTGGGCCAGGCTCCCGCACAGGGGTGGCCACAGCGCCCGTCTCTTTATGAAACCACTGGCCCGTGCCCCTCAGATTTCAGCCCGGACAGCATGGGAGCAATGCAGTGTAACTGCCAGCTGGGGAGGCCAAACGTTCTGTGCCTCCAAGAAGCAGCTAAGCTGCTGGGTGAAGGCAGGAGGCCAGCTTTCAGCTGGGGCTGACACATTTGCTATGACCCCCCCGCTAAGCGAGCATCACCACCACCTCGGGCCCAGGGAAGAGGCTGGCACTCAGACACAGTACATGTTTTATTATTAAAAAAGGCATAAAAACTAAAAGACATGCTTCCCAAAATTACAGTCTCTATGTACATCTGCGCTTCCCAGGCAGCTGCAGGGAGCGTAGCCTTCTGCCCTCACTGCACAGGTTCTCACTACCCTTTGTTAGGTGTTATCTTCTCACCTGCACTTACAGTGTTCCAGCTAAAGGAAGAGAAAACCCTGTACCACTCGGGGTATAAGATGGTGCAGTTTCTATCTGTCATGGAGAAACCATCCTGAACTTCTGGAGACATCTGTGCAATAGGAAACTGTACAGAAAGGACCCATGCCCAAGACCCAGGCTGAAATTCTCCTTCCCTAGGAAGTGTTCTCACTAAGGGATGAAACGGGACCTGAATTTTGTAGTTAGCCCCGAACTTTATGATAAGCAAATCCTGGGCATCAGGTGTGATGTGTTCTGGAGTGTTCTGATACCGAGCCCACAAACTCATGTCACTTATTGGTCCCACCTTTGCCAGCTCGGCGTGTGATGACATTTGTTGCATTCATTTCTGAGGAGGAGCAACATGGAGTCCTAAGTCTTGGGATCCTGCCGAGTTATCAGCGCATTGGAAATAAAGAAAAAAATTAAGATCTAGCAAATATGTAGGATAAGTAGAGCAAGATGCAACTGCACTTCCTTGCTGGGAATCACTGCACAAAACAAATGCTGATTTACAGTAAAATATTAAATTATGAAGAACCACACAAGCACTTGCAGTTATAGCGAGTGAGACATGCTGACTAGAAAACAAAACCAAACCTGGAGAGCAAAACCATTCAGTTTTGCCCTCTCTGGAAGGCTGCAGTGATGTGATGCTAGTCTATGTTCTGATGTGACTTTTACAGTGTGCCAGAAGACCTCCTAAAGAGGAAGGCCAGTGGTTCTCAAGCTTTTTTTCATGAGGATTCCAGAAAGAGGTCTCCCAGTTGATCCCTTGCCCCCAACACACACACACCATCCCCAAATCAATTTCACACCTTCACTGGAGCAGCTACAGCACTTGGTTATCTGAAAAAGCCATAGGACTGTTAAAGAGAAAGATGAAACAAATCCTGTTTTAAAGCAAGTGCTGAATCCTGCTCCCACTGAAACTGAAGCAAGCCTGCCATTCTGTATCTAAGCTGTCTCCTTCCTCTCCCAGAGGGCAGCACTTTGCATTAATTGGCACCATTTCCCCATTTTGCTGTTAAGTCCTCTCTACACTGTTTCCTCTCCATCCCTTTGAAGTTGGATGCTGTCTTCACACATGCCAGCTGCTCTTCCTCCCTTCAGATGTCAATGCCAGCTGCAAGTCTGGTCAGGCCCCAATCGGCATCAAACAGAAGAAAAAGTGAGACGTAAAAGAGTTACGTGGGGTGAAGAGGGATGCTGGATTTTCATTTGTTTCTAATGTCACTGCTCAGCAAAAATTCTGAAACTCTTAAAAGACCCTCGGACTGAGGAAGCAGCAAATGTCACTGCATGAAATAAGCCAGACGTTCAAACTGAGTGCTGGGTAGGAGCAGATCTGCAGATCAGTCTGAGAACCACTGAGGTAGGCAACAAGTCTAGGCAGTACTGCTGAGTGAACACAAGGGGAATTTTGCCCTCTTGTCCTGAAGGAGAGTGTAGATTAGATACCCACTAGTGTTTTCAGAGGTACCAGTCCCAAAGTCACGCAGCCAGGATCAAAGACAACATCTACACGAGAGCGAGCACTGACTGAACAGAAGGTGTATCCAGCTCTGCTCCAGCACTCCGTGGGAAGGAGCAGAGCACAGACTCTTGACTGTCCACCTTAGCTTTGAACTCCTTTCAGCGGGATGTGACAAACCTCTAACCCCACTGCCCCCCTCCCCCCAATCCAAGGGGTTTTTTGGGGTCACTGTCCTTCCAAGCTGTCCACCACTGCAGCAGGTGGTGAAAGCTCCAACAGCTGCCCAAGAACCGTGGCCAGTGCTGTCCAAAGCCACGGCAGGTCCGGCACCGAGCCCCAGGCGACAGGGCACCGCGGCTGCACACGTCCCGTCCCGGGGAAGCAGAACGCCACCGCTATGTACAGGCTAACAGCTCTTCTCTCCTTCTGTCTCCAGCTCATACAGAAGGCTTTTGTCCTCCCCTTCCTGCCCATCTGGATGCCTTTCACCCTCGGCATCATCTCCAAGGCACAAGGGGCTCATGATGTAGCGATAGTCACTTGTGACGGCGGCGGGCGTCACCGTCCGTGTTTCCGAAGGGGGCGTGCAGTGAAGGGTCACTCCCAGACGCCTCTTTGTCCCTCCCAATGTTGACATAGAGAGGATCTTGGCTGGAAGAGAGGGTGGACATCCTCCCGCGGATCATTTCCAGCTGGGACCGGAGCACGCCAAAGCTGGGGCGTAGCTTGGGCTCAGGATGCCAACATCTGCACATGAGATCGTAGCTGCAAAAGAGAAGGAGACGAGAGCACTGAGAAGCAAAGCAGCCACCCCCTGCACCTCCAAACAGGGGCTCTGAGCACAGACACCTTCCCCAAAACCTGTCAACTTTGGTGACAGCACGTGGGCACCCGTTACGGATCAAATTCCTTGCCCCTTCCCGTTTTCAAGGGCATTCTCATTTTGGTCAAAATAATTATTTGGACAGTGCCATAAACCCCAAAAACCCTGTTGAAGAATGCTGAACTTCTCAGTAAGAGCCTCACTCCACTGTCTCTGGAGAACTAGAATAGGACCATGAGTATGACACTGCTTGGTAATAGCTTTTGAATTTATTCACAAAATCCTGACAACCTCTGTCACAGCTGAGGCCACCCCTCCAAATTCTAGTTCAGGAGCAGATAAAACACAGGAAGAAAGAAAACAGAGATCCAGCTGCGGGAGGTGCAAGTTCTCTCCAGGATACTTCTTCCACATGTCGTTAGCTCGGCGCTCCCGGCATAACCGAGGTGTGGTGCTGGTGCTGCCCGACAGGTTGCCAGGGGGACTGGAAAAGTCCTGGTGGGCTTGTTTGGAGGGCCAGGGAGAATAGTTTCTCTGCTGGGAGAGGGCTGCTGAAACAGCCCTTCTGCTCCAGAGGCAGCACCAAGATGCTCTCGGTGCTTCCCGGCTTTGGGCCGCATCCTGCACTGGTCAAATGCCAGCCACAGGCGCTGCGGTTGCCCGGGGACCAGCACGAGGGGACCTCGGGAGCCCACGGGGCTGTTGCCCACGGGGCTGGAGCCATTGTCCTCCCCCCCAACCCCTCCCAGGACTGGCAGCTGCACCCTGGGGCGTTATTGTTGCCAGCTCTGCAGGGAACAGGAACAAAGCACAGTGCTGGCACCAAAACACACCCAGACAAACAAACCTCAGTGCGACTCCGAAAGGGAAAAAAATCTGATATGGCTTTTCCTGGGAAATAAAGCCTTTCACCATGGCTTTTATTTCACTTCTTGTGTCCCTTGCTCGCTATCAGCTTTACAAGAGTGTTTTTCATCTCACGCTTGTTTTACAGAAAGCTTCTGTGGTTCAGTTGTCTTAATCCTGATGTATGTCCCTCACAAACAGTACAAATAACTCCAAATGCTCCTGATAAAATTGCAACTTCCTATGCTGTGGCACCAAATGAAATACTTTCTTTTACTCTTGCTGGCAAACAGAAGAAATTCATTTGAAAAAAAAGGTAGAAAACTACTGGGTGTATTGAATCAGCCCACAAGTCCATCTGCCCCAGCACCCTGCCTCCAACAGTGGCACTTGGGGAAAGCACATAAGCTGAGGGAGAGCATTCAGTGACATCTTTCTGGTATATTCCCTCAGGTCTCAGTAACCTGTAGCTCAAGGGCCTCTTGAAATGGAGGCTGTCAGTTTTGATTGATTTTTCTTCAATGCCTAGCAGATTTTTGAACCTCTTCTCTGCTTTTGGCATCTGTGACATCCTATGCCCATGAGCTCCACAACTTGGAACCAAAGCTACTCACAGCAGTCAAAATGCAGACAAGTAATGAATTTAAGCAGTGGTACAACAATGTTTTCATTTAAACTCAGAAAGAGTTAAAATAAACAGCCAAGAAGATAAAAGTGCACAGCTCTAATAACAAGAGTACAGATTATTCCCTATGTGGAAAAAAGGCTGGAGAAAGGGAACCATATGAAATAATCCACCATCAGAGCAGGAGGGAAAAAGGAGGAAAGAGGACTTCATGCTGTCTGTTTTACACACAAGGAATGGGCTGAAAAGACCACTAAAGTCAGTGCTCATAGTTGCACTTTGCTGTGGGCATGAAACACAGAAAACAGACTTGCTTGGGCACTCAGTGAAATGATTTCACTTTGCCTGGACTAGGAAAGCTGTTACCCTGGCAGAGGTTATGATGATACTCCCTGGGGGACCTTGGGCCCGTGTGCTGACTCCAGGAAACTCCAGCTACCACCCATGGACCAAGGGTTCCAGAGCAAACATTTCAAGTAACCTGCTGGCCAGTAATAACCAAGGTGCCTTGGCCTCGGAACTAAGGCAGGAGCACAGGCTGTAGTGTGTGGCTGCCTGCTCCCCTGTGAGCTGCCTGAGTCCTCCCTGCAGGTCTGAAAATGTCTGAAACTAGTATCTGCAAGACTGTCCTGGGTTTGTTTCCTACAGTATAAGGTAGATACTTGATCTGTAGAACCTTAGGTCCTCTTATCTGCTCTCTTCTCTCTCATCCTGCTGTTTCTGTGACAGCAGTAGATCTAATTTTCAAAACTGTGCCAAGCTTTCAAAGACACATGGAGGCCACTGCCTCTGCAGTCCAGTTTCCTCATAGTCTTGCCAGACTGGTTTTCTGATCGGCCTTCTGAGTGTGCCATAAAACTCATCTCTTTTCTCAGATGCCAGCCCAAGCAGGTAGGAAGCAGTGAGTTTCTGGAAACACAGAGTTTCCACAAAGCCAGGAGCTGCTATTGTTGACACTATTAAAACCCTTGAGCCAAGTTAGCTGCTCACGGAGCTGCCACAGGTTCCAGGGACCTCTGCCAGCAGAGTATCTGGTAGCTAACACAGAGACTTTCTAGTGAATGGCTCTGTGTACTGGCAAGTGGATAGACTGAGATCTGCATCCCAGCCAGCTGCCCCTGTTTCCTTCCAGCCAGCCAAACATCTCGAGGAAGCACGTGTCAGCAGGGTGAGGGAGTACTCACACGTCTTCCAGGCACTCCGGCGGCTGCTTCAGCCTGTTCCCGCTGATGAGGTAGTTGTAGATTTCTGCATTCTCAATGCCAGCATAAGGGGTCTGCCCTCGGGTCACAATCTCCCACATGGTCACCCCAAACGCCCACTGAAAGGGAAGAGCACACAGCACCAGTGAAGGGACAGTTCTCTCCCTGCTGGGGTGGGGTTTCAATAGGATCAGACTGTGCTGACCCTCCCAGGCTGGGGTAATGTCACCTGAGCAGCAGTGATGCAAGGACTATCCAAACCCCAGCTAGAAAACAAAAAATGACCCATCAGAGGCCACTGATGCATCATCCTGGGAGACAACCAAAGTCTCTGCCTGGTGCCATCTTGCAGTGGAACGTTTGGGATCTACTGCTGTCTTCCACCTGCAGACCTCTTCCCAAACGTCTCCTACTCATGGCTCTTTAAGAAATGTGGTATCGGTTTTGTGGTTCACAGCTATAAGAAGATTTTGGGTTGGGGCTCACAAATCAGTTTCTTAATTCATTAAGCCAGATTCTGAGTTACTGGAAATAACAGGCACAAATGAAAGCAGAGTTTAGCCAGTAAGCAGGGCAAGGAACAAACCACCTCATGGCTCACGTTCATTTGTGCTCTATACTGCAACAGTCATACTTTAAATGCCAGGTTTGTTAGGTGCAAAAAATTATCATTTTCATAAGCAAGACCCTGTCTAGGCTTTACTGTAAAGTGGCTGAACTAGTGATCACTGGTGTCTACAGTGGTTGCAGCAGTCACTGGGAGCAGCCAAGTTACAAGGTGCTCTTGGTGATCTCTCCTGGGACACTGTGACATGGATAACTGGGAAGGCAAATCCACAGGCCTGAAGGGCAAAACCAGTGTGAAACCAGATCAGAAGGCAGCAAGGAAGAGGGGAGAAGGTACCCAAAGAAAAGAAAACAAAACAAAGGGAAAGGAAGCCAAAAATCCAGATGAACAGGTTTAGCCTCACTCCCCAGTGGTGAAGTTACAGGGAGAAGTGTCTAAGCACCAATATATCTAGAATCTATGAGGTTCCACCAGTGCCTTCTGTAGGCCAGAGCATCTCTGCTGCTCTTTTACACAAGTGTGTGGGCTACATGAATTTCAAGTGTCACCTTCTAACTGTTACGCAGAAAAGAAAGGAAAAAGAACAAGAGCAGGAAAGAGGAGACTGTATAAAGAGAGAGGAAAAGGAAGAGGAGAAGGGGAAAGGTGAAGGAGAGGGTAAGAAGCACTGGAAAACAAAGGACCAAAAGGACAAGAGGCAAAGGGTTCCTGTCTTCTGCCATAAACCACTTGCACGTATTTTTAGTCCTGAGTTCTGGCAGCACCCAAGGCAAAGTCCCTCAAACTCAAGCTAAACTCTCTTTGCTATCACCAGGACCTTTCCCCACCCTCAAGGAATACAGAAGGACTCCTCCACTTCAGCAGG